AAGGGGGGGGGTGTCCCCCACCGCAGGGACGTGGGGAGCTGCTTGTTGCGGTGACAAGGTTGGCGGCGGCAGGACGGCGACGGCGCGACCTCTCCCCTTCTCCAGGGATTTGAAGCGGGGCCAAGCGGCGATGGAAATGTCATTGTCGCGGCACGGGGGCCCAGCGAAGTAAACACTGCTCGGGAGAGAAGGGAGCGGGACCCTGCTTCACCGAGCTCCGCAACCGGAGAGAGGGACAGCCCCAAAAAGGCAGCGCAGCCCTGGTTGGAGGGGGCAGCAAGAGGACCGTGGGGTTCATCCACGCTCCCACGGGCTGCAAGGGCCACGGGACGATACCTGGGAGCCAGGAGCCATCCCACCGCCCGCTTGGGGTTTGGGACATCGGCCTTTTGGCCGGACTCTGGTGCCCGTCCAAGCCTGATGAGGAGCCAGGGCTGCGCATGAACCTATGCAGACCAGGAAGAAATACATTTTCCTGACTTTCCTTGCCTCTTGGCTCCTGCTTTTCTTCTTCGGAGGAGACCAGCTGCGCCGTTTCGCTTTCTTTTCCGGGAGGAAAGCCGAAGCCCAGAGGAACTGGCCCCACTGGACGGATCGGTCCCTCCTCAAAAGCTTTGCAAACCCCGAGGAGCTCCAGAGCGATGGGGACCCCTCGCTGCCATCACCTCGGGAGCGGCGGGCGGCACGGCTGAGCGTCTACAAGAACAGCAGATGCCGGATGGAAACCTGCTTCGACTTCTCCAGGTGCGAGAAGCACGGCTTCAAAGTCTTCACCTACCCTCGGGAGAAGGACCAGCCCCTCTCGGAGAGTTACAGCAAAATCCTCACCTCCATCGAACGGTCTCGCTACTACACCCCGAACCCTGAGGAAGCTTGTCTCTTCATCCTCAGCATCGACACACTGGACCGCGACCATCTCTCGGGTCAGTACGTCCGTAACGTCGATGAGAAAATCCGCGGCTTCCCGCTCTGGAATGGCGGCCGTAACCATCTCATCTTCAACCTCTACTCGGGCACGTGGCCCAATTACACCGAGGACCTGGGCTTTGACATCGGCCAGGCCATCCTGGCCAAAGCCAGCTTCTACACCGAGAGCTTCAGGCCCGGCTTTGACATCTCCATCCCTCTCTTCTCCAAGGACCACCCGCAGCGCGGCGGGGAGAGGGGGTGGTTGTATCAGGACTCGATCCCCCCCAAAAAGAAATACTTGTTGGTGTTCAAGGGGAAGCGGTACCTGACCGGCATCGGCTCCGGCACCAGGAACGCGCTGCACCACATCCACAACGGGAAGGACATCATCTCGCTCACCACCTGCAAGCACGGCAAGGACTGGGAGAAGCACAAGGACACGCGCTGCGACAAGGATAACGTCGACTACGAAAAGTGAGTTGGAGATGGGGTGGGAAAGGGGGGTCTGGTGGGGGGGACACACCCCACAAATATTCCTGCCCCTCCGCAGGGTGCAGCCGTGCTTGTCTGTGGTGGCTGGACCTCTAGATATGGGGAGAGAGGAAAGTTTGGGGCTTTTCTGAAATCAGGGTTTCATTTCCATAGTGGGGAGCGAGGCGCTGGTTGTTCAGGGCTTTCCTGTTCTGTATTAAAGTTCGAGTAATCTGGCGAGAGCAGCTCTTATCTGCAATCACGGCGGCCCCCTCTAATACGATTTCCCTTTTTCCTTGCGCTGATGAATGATGCTTTTCTTCTCCCCCCCTCTCCCTGCCCCT